GAGGGAATAAATTAAGTTCAGCCAGTCTCGCTTCGTAAGGCGAATGCCCAAGATTCTTGACCGCCTTCATGGCCCCCGCCCCCACTCCTTCCTGCCGCTGAAGATCCCTATTAAACCACGAATTCCGGGCCTGGACGGCACACTTCAGGTGAGACTGGGCGAATAGCCTGTGGGTTTTTCCGAGCAGTTTCTCACCAACCTGCACAAATCCTCGTCTCGGCGCAATTTACACTTGTGTCGCGCGTCTAACCCACGGTGGTTTAAACAAAGGAGGTTATTAGACGACGAGGTTTTTCTGTCCGTCAGCAATTTAAAGGGACTTCCCGCCATGGAGGTATCGGATGGAATCATCTCCCCACCGGTTATTCTTTTACGGATTCTTTGGAACACACACTTATCAGGGTTAAAATTCAAGAGCCCACGAGCGGACTGGCTGCTGCATCTGTTGAGACTTTCTTGTAGTGTGCATCTGTTTGTACCAGACCTGATGGCTCTCCAAAGTTTAACATTGTCAGCAAACATGACGGTGTTGCAACCCAGGTTGTCGAAAAATTCATTGAATTAGAGAAGGAAGAACCACGGTGCTAAGACTGAACCCTGAGTGAACATTTAGAACGGGGGTAGGGGTTTACTTGGAGGCATTAACGCACGCGGTTTGCGGTCTTCCTGTAAGAAAATGTGCGACCCATATCAGCAGCTTTCCCTTGTTACAATTTGGGATAATTGGTAGATTAGATGTTTGTGTAGGACGCTGACGAACGCCTTCTTGAAATCAATGTAGATGACGTCACCCCACGATTGTCGTCCACCGCTCGGTCAAGAGCAATAAACTGGACGGACAAGACTGGTTCTCTCTGAAGCCGTGCTGGAGTTCTGAGGATAAGTGGTTAACCTCCAGGAGTCGGGAAGACCCATTTCTGCGCCTTCGTCTCAGTCCGGCAGTATTTTTTCGATATCACCTGTTGTTGCGTTGTTCGTTGGGTTACCGCGACTCAAAACTCTATTCGGGAATGCTCACAATGCGTCTCTATCTGTGTGTGCTTTTCATAAAATCTCATTGATATGTAGGTCTAGCCGTTGGCACAAGTCGAGTCTTGTTGGATAGAAACCAGGTTCCTTGTTTAGTCCAGGGCTTGCATATAGTTCCGAAGACTGGCACTTGCTAATAACATTGTGAGACATCGTATTAACATTTGCGTGGCTTGCAGCGATACTAGAATAGGTCTTTGTCGCCCGTGGGTTAGAGTGGTGATGTGGCTGTTTTGCATTTATAACAGGAAAAAGAGAAAACTTATTTCAGTGAAAACTACTAATCTAACTATCAATGTTGTTATCTATACTGTGTTACTGAATCTGTCCCACGAGCGGTCTGCGTTTGCTTGTGTTGAAGACCGCACACGAATTAAGTTAAATAACCTTAATATCCTCCTGCTTGCGTAGGCTTCTATTAGGAATCAGAAGTGCAATCACAGGTTGTATGATCCTGGTTCGCCCTCTCCCCTCCCCCTCGGAGAAGCCATGTTAATTAATAGTCGCATGTTTATGCTTTTTTAGGAATGATCGTGGGAGTCGTTTCAGAGAGAAAAATTAGCGATTCTTTCCTATCTTTGGCCCTATTAATTAAGAAAGGGAGAGTTGGGTATAGCTTAGCGATAATGTTATGATGTGTATGTCGAAATTACGGTCCGGACGCTATAATCTTATTCAGATGGGCGGTTTTTTAGCCTTTCATTAAAATGATTGGTACATTTTTAGCCTGAGTAGGTGTTCTCGGTGTGGAGTGGACGTATGCCTTCCTTTGTCCGCATTATGTGTCCTGAATAGTGCTCAACCAGTTTAAAGGTAATTTACCCTTGATCTGTCTAGTGGTTTCATCCTCTTCTGCAGCATTATCATGGGTTTGTAATTCCCCTCTTGCCTGTTAATACTGTTAGAATACTCTTAGGCTGCTAGACGATTTTCATAATAAGTCCGGTTTCTTTGTATCGGGCTGCAGGCTATCGCATTTACTTACATTACGCGTAGTTGGGTGTCTACAAAAGTGCTGATGAAGGTTATTTTTTCACTATATAAGCCTACTCTAGGAATCATGAATAGAGGAGAATCAAAAAAGCTGAATACTATCGCCGGTGGCAGTTGAGTTTCCTTAATATTTTTTTGCGGTTTCAATAATCGAGTTTGGTTAACAGTCCAGAGATGGCTAGTGCGAGTTAGAAGCCACGGTCTTCTGAGTTTCAGTGTACATCTGTCTATGTAAGACAACAAGCCTGTGGCTCATTGGTTTCGGCATTGGACTTCTAAACAACTGGTTGTGGGTTTGAGTCTCGGGGGGGGGGTTACAAAAACTTCGTGATTGGGTATGGCTGGCTAAAATGGTTATTCCAGTCTCCTTCATCTCCGTCGGCAATCTATTTCTCCTGGTATTTCTCTTTTCCGCATGCCGTCTGCTCCACCGTCGCTGATAAGGCCGGCGCACCGTCACGCGTCAGAACAGGCCCATCTCCTGTGAATACGGAACATAGTACTTGGTGTGTCCCGGTAAAGCAAGTGACCAAATCGTGTGTGGTTCACGTAGACGGGCTGTTTACCTCTGTAATCCACTGCGCCAAATCCCACACCCGATGGTTGACAAGGGAGGCTGACACAGATCGGCGCATTCTTCGCCATAATAAATCTGACGCGCTTGAGTTTATCCCTGTGCGTTAAAAGCCGTTTCCGGAAATGTTGCCAGCTGGCGGGATAACTTGGTTCCTGTGGCTAGTACTACTTATGTACGGAGTGACCGACTGGAGGACTAAGAACAGGCCGTGATGATTCCTTCTAAGTGTGACTGCCATGACAACCCAACAGAACTGAGATCCGAGACACCACTTTTCGTGGAAATCTGCTGCTGGTCGTGTGTGTGGTACGCATAGACGGGTTATTTGGCCCTGCTAACCGCTGTGCCAGAGCCCACCCGCCGGTAGTCTTACGATCGGAGAGAGGTGGGTACGTGAAGAGAGGGCTGCTTCACTGTAAACAGCCCGGCCATACACCTGCTTCGTGACGCGACTGTGAACATCGTTGTTCTCAACGACCGGACTATCGTGTGTCCTCAACGTTCGGCATGTGGCTTCTGACATGTGCTTCAATGTTGAGAAGGTGATACCGACAAAGACAAGGGAGACCGGAATGGCCATTTCTGGCTTATTAGCCGTCATCAGCCAGTCATACCCAACCCCAAGTGTGGATCACTTGAGATTCGAACCCGGGATCTTTGGTAATGGAGTTGAACGCTCTACCATTGAGCCACGGGCCCATTGTCCTGTGCTTCAATGTTCAAAATGAGGCCTTTAATTGTGCGGGAAATTACTAGGCGTAAGTAGGCTAAAGCCCTAAAGAACCGTCTTTTTAAGCCCAACCCCAATACCTGCATAGACATTTGGGTCGGAGGATGCTAACTTCGGTGAAAAACCATTTGATTTTCATGTCTATGCAACGAGCATTTCGTAGCAGTAAACGTCTAGCTCTGATCTGCATACACTCAGCACAGTGTATGCACTCACCAATTGGCGCAGCAAATGGCAGAGATAAGCGGTCGGCCTACACGTACCACACACAACCCGGTCCCCTCGTCATGAGGCTACGACAAGGGCGTCCCGTGTCCCGATTTGGGGAGAATTCCAGCAAGGACACATTAAGAAGGGGCCATTGCACCATGCCGGTCAGTCATGAGAAGGATCGAGTTACCACGACAGTTAGCAATCTTCTAAGTCGCTACTCTTGGCATGTAGTAGAGATTGAAGTATCTTATGTGCCTCCAAGGCATCAGAAACTAACAAATTTCCCCCCTGCACCATCCGCCCCAAAGTTTATGTCACGTAGCATGCTACTGCCTACATTCAAGTAGCATTATTTTATGACTTGGTTATCTCCCGAACGAATCATATACGCTTGCTTCGATATTACTCGGTCCATTCAGCACCGCGTACCGGGTATTGTACAATTTTGACATAGGAGACATTCACAGACAAATTTATACCAGTAGCCAATGCCCGTTGTATGTAAGGACTTACTTAATTTTCTTTGACACTTGCCTTACACATTGCTTTATGTGACGTTATTGTAACCAAAAAGGGGTTCAAAGGCGCTAGCCTACCTTTCCCTTAATAAATCTGACCTGGTCTGATCATTTTACTTACAGCGAGGGAGAGCAGACGGTGTTGTGTGTATACTGTTTTATCTACGCAGTTATTTGCGCGGACAGCCTTTATGTGCTGGCATTTTCAACCAAAAATTGCGTCCCTTTCAATATCTCTTCTATGGTTTAACTTAACTGAAAGTCGTTCGTTAATAATTGGAAGTGTTAGTGGATATATATGGGTCAGTTCCCGATCTACTAGAGATTCCTGATCAATTGAAACGCATCTACCGTGGACATAAAACGCATCTTCTGATGGTGTTACTGATGATGTGGATACATGAATGGGCACTGGAAGGGTACGTAACCGTCTTGGGTACCGCGAGGTCATCGCCATCTTTTCAAACTTCCTGAGCAAAAGATGAACGGTTAATTGGATAAAAATTGCTATGGTCCGCACAGTACTGAGCCGGAATATGATGAATTGAGCTTTGGGTCTGATAGTATGAACTTTCCAATATTTCCAACTAGTCCACAGTGACACCCGCTAAAAAAACGCCACTTAACTTCTGCATGGACTGCGGGTGGAATTATGCCTTTTCTTAAAACATTTAGACATTTCACAGAGAGCCCTTGTTTTAGTCGCTAATTGTTTGGTTTGCCGACTTGTGCAGGCTGACACTGTGAAAATGTGAGAGTCGTTTTTGTATTTTTTCAAATAATGATGATAATAACTATTATAATGAGTGCTCTTGACAGTTTCCACTAGGATGACGCCGACGCACTATATCAATAGATGTAATGTTCATGTAATGTCTGTGAAGATTGGAGGACTGGCAGATTCACAGGTTGCGCCAGCCTAGATGTCATTTTAGGCCTGCTATGCATTTGCTGGCGTCATCGTTGTCTCCATCAAGTATCCCCTGAGCCAGGCTGAAAACTGGAAGAAAAGAGGTGGATACAAGTACACCGTAAATAAAAGCACACATCAAATGTACTGCTTGCGCGATCAGGCTTTGGAAGAGGTTTCCAGAATGACTTTCTTCCGACTTCTTGGCCTCCATCGACCCGCGGGACACTCCCCCTAGTCGGGGTACTGTCGCGCACTCAATGATTGCGTGCAGTGGCGGGCCAGCGGGTAGGGGGGAGGGGGGCCGTGACCGTTGAACGTTTACGTCGAACGCTCTTACCACCTGAACAACCGAACTCCTGTCCTGTCGGCGGTGGCACGGTTACCAATGTAGACAGATAGTCCGTGGGGGCCAAAGGAGCTCGGGGGGGGGGAGGAATTGACCAGATGACCTGGAAGTTTACCGATTTTGACGCGCCTAGGTGAAGGTTGCGGTCGCATACAAGCGCTAATGCCCTCTCTAGGGTTTTTGCCGTTTAAAAGGAGCGGTTCGGAGTTCAACGAATCTACCTTAGAACTCCGTTCCAAAAATGGACGGGGGAGGGACACCGATTTGTTTGATACACACCATGCCGTGCTCGGCGAATGAGAAGTATTCCCGTGCTCATTGAAGCATTTTCCACTACACCGCCTGACTCTGGGATTCTGACTCAGCTGCATTCACATGCTTCAGAACTGACGAAACACTACCCGAACCTGTTTATGTGCCTCCAAAAGAACAGGATTGCTTAAGGGAGGTTGCAGGGCTCACCAATTAGAAACGATCTCAGGTCACTTTGTGGCAATATCCACTGGGCTTCTATTAGCTACTAATACTAATCAGATAGTGCACAGTTTTTTCGTTGACACCGACGTCCGTGTATACTTAGTCATGTTCTGTAGAAAATATGTGTTAAATAAAGTGTTCGGGCGCATTTTATGCCGAACTGAACTTAAAATATTTTGATGTTTTAAAATCTGCAAACAAGATATCTCCCATGACGCTCGCACGAACCACATAAGACCCACTATCCTGAGATTGAAAGTTATGAAAGTCACAAAGTACGCAAATTGACCTACACAGATTGAGGTATTTTGACTACAGAAAATCAGTACGGAAGTACGCAACCCTTATGCAGTTTCCTCCGGCTAGCAAGATGCTGCTTCAATAGCCAGCATGCTCCCGTAAAGGCATATACAGTGAATGACCGATCTCATGAAATGTTGGCCGAAATTCTGAAATATGTTTTCGATTTGGAAGGATTACTTAGGTGAGGTTGTAATATTGATTATCGTGCGGCATAATATGGTAATATTTCGGACTCAGTAGGATATCGGCTTTTGACTGCACTTCTTTTCGATCTCCTGCGGGAACCACACTCGGTAAAAAATGACTACTTATGTAGCATGCATTTTTCGCATTGATTTTCATTGGTCATCTAAATCAAAATATATTTTATACGAAACATGCATAAAAATGTGCTTTCTTCTATTTTTTTGGCGGTAAATCACGTCCGCTTTACGTTGTATTTTTAAATACGGGGTATGTTTAGGTTTTGGAAAAGTTTTCCAATTCCCGAATAATTTTGAGCTTTGTCAACCGTTACATTAGCATTTAGCTATTTCAGTCTACAAGGCGCATGGTTCCCGCGTAAGGAAAATCGTTTATTTCTCTATGCCTTTAAAAGATACCATTTATAGTTCATGAAATTTTACAATGAGTGTGGACCATGTTATCTATTTCATAAAGAGCATTGGTAAACAGACAGGTACGATGAATGTTCACTGCGCGGTCTGACAAATCGCGCAGTTAAAAACTTTTCCAAAACCTAAATATACCCTCTCTTCAAACATAACATGTAAAGCCGACGTGATTTGCCACCAAACAAATAGAAGAAAGCATCTTTTTATGCATGTTTCCTATAAAATATATTTTCATTTAGATAACCATCGAAATTTAATGCGAAAAATGCATGCTACGTAAGTAGTCATTTTTTACCGAGTGTGGTTACTGCAGCAGATTGAAAAGAAGTGCATTCAAAAGCCGACATCCTACCAAGTCCAAAATACTATTGAATCATGCATGCATGCATGCTGATCAATATTACAACCCCACCGAAGTAATTCTTCCCAATCGAAAACGCATTGCAGAATTTCGGCGACCATTTCATGAGATCGGTCACGCAATGTAAATAATTGCTCCACGGATGCATATTCGTCTTTAGAATGTTGTCTTGTCGATTTTCCACGATAACAAGGCGTGGAGATGAAATGGATAATAATTAGCATTATTAGTGAGACACCAACCGTCCGCCACTTCCCTTTAAACCGCGAACAATGTCCACGATAAGGCACTGACGACCCTGCCACTTTATGAATGCAAAAGGCGTATTAGCTTTGCCCACTAGTGGATGATAAGTGGTTATATCAGCGTGCACAATAAGTTCGAATACATTTAATAAAGTACGCTTAAAGCCATTCGTCGGCCAGATTAGAGGATGAGCATACCCTGTAACGCGATCAGCGAAGGCCCCTCCCCCACACGAATTCATATTTTCGATCACAACCAACAGGACAGCTGGCTCCTGGCAGAGCGCTGGTCGGCTTAACCGCAATGACCAAAATGTCAGGCCCTGCGTCCTAGGTTATTTAGGCCTGGCCATCGACAGCTAATAAGTCAGAAACCGTCATTCCAGTCTCCATTTTGTTTGTCAGTACTCCATTCTCTGCAAAGGGCGGGGTTTGCGACAATTAAATGGCCTTCATAGGTGATCTGGCAATCGTTTAATCCCTAAAAACTCACTCCACAATTGAGCAACTGTATACATTCGGTGGAGGCATATCGTAGCTAATTAACGACCATGCATAATAGGCTGCAAGGAGTACACACGTGACAGTAAAAAAAATACTCAACGCAAATGACGCCCCAATTATAAGAGTATGCCACACGATAATCAGTATTACAACCTCACCCAAGTAATCCTTCCAAATCGAAAACTTGTCTCAGAATTTCGGCCAGCATTTCATGAGATCGGTCACTCACTGTGCTTGCAAATGGGTTTCCTGCAAAGTCGTTCTGCAGGCCTGCCTAGATCTGTCGAACTAGTACCTATAAAGTTCGTCTACTGATATGACAAAAGTAGCAATGAGAGCGTAGCATGCCGGTGTGAGTACCATTTTAGGGGTTTTGACGCACTGAGTAGCGGGTGGGGGTCTAAAGTTTCGGTACCGTCCACTTAAACAATAAAATAAAACGTAAAGAAGCTCCCGTTGTCGGCTCAAATAGCAGTGTTTTTTGGAAGGAACAGTCACATCATTTTTCGCTCCACACTGAGGAGAGTGAATGTTCGCTTGATCTCCAAGATCTATTTTAAATAGCTCTTCCAGTATCTAGAATGACTACGTTAACGAGGTAAACCAAGCATGCTCCTATCCTATGTCGACATCAAACAACACACTGCCTCTGTGCGCTACCACGGTTGCCTCAATCCAGTCTGGGTACCCAGTTCCATAGTCACGAACGAAGAGCGGTGTTTCGACGGAAAGCTTGTTGCGAGAGACAGGAGAATTTGTCTGTTCTTTCAGTATCTGGAATCCCCTGAAGAGAATGTTACAGGGATATCAAGAAAAAATACCTTACTTTGAGGAGAACGGCTCTGTTTTGTTGAGACCGTCTAACAGAGCAAAGAGTAGGCAAGGAGGACTGGGGGACTTACAGATTCCGTAAATACTTGCCGGTGGGAAAAATGGTCGGGCGAGTAACTGAAGAAGTTTACGGGTTTGAGGGTGATTCGTTGGCTCGAGGTCGACATGAATGTGTGCGGATAGTCTTCTCTCGAGGGCACGTGGAGTGAGGCTAAATTAGCCCAAATGACCACGTCCTATATAAAGACAAGGGACAGTTAACGGGCGGTTGGAAGTCGAGAAGATTACTGAAGACGAAGTATATAACCGACATTTCGGTGTCCTTCGGTTACTTGGGATGCTTTCATACAGCAGATGATTCGGCCGAACTCCAAGCGCAAGCCCGCGGACGTGGGCCGCGCGTGTGCACAGAAACTATTTAAAGTAAGGCGGCGACCTTCAGACTCAAGGTCAGAATCGAGTAAGTGGCCAAACAAACAAGTTCAGGGCAGGTGGATGGGGGGAAAAAACAAAGAGGTTACGGAACAACATACAAATAGGTCAGATAAAACTTCATTGAGGGGAGACTTGGAGAATTTCCGAACTCGGTCGACAGATGATATAAGAGTATTTGCATTTAGATGGTTTCTTACAACCGATCTTTCCGTCTGCTCGCTTGTGTGGGTCACGATGAGTTCAAACTCCTGGAAGTAGAGGATGTAGAGTGATGTCTGGGAATTGCATGCTTTTTACAAACGACTCTCTGAGAGCCAGACTCCACATAAGCTGCCCCGTGTGGGCAAACATGCCATTTGCCATACCTAAGTAGTCAGTTTACTCTGATCAAATCCCTGACGCCGAATAATCCGATTGAAGAATCCAATGAGTTTCTATTCTTACAGTTTCTGTGAACCCTCCCCACATCTACCCATCCAGATTCCGCGGGCGCATGAACGACCGGATGTTATGCGCACTCAGAGGCTTTGCATGAGTTAAAACATACTGAGCGAAATGGCTGGACTCTCCCCGATATCACTCAAAGTCCAGGCAGTCGGTCAGAAGAAACGCTTGAGCACTTGTCAGTCTCGGGCTACCTTGGCCACTTTGGTCGCCGTCTAAAAGCTGCTATAGGGCACTCTTAAAGTGATGGAATGACTAAGTCTTGCAGCGGTCTGTGATGAATCCAAACATAAAGCTAAATACTCTACTTGAGACTACTGGGAGAGCTTTCTATGCGAAGATTAATTTAAAGGATTTCTAAGAAAGCAGTATATGTGCCAAAGGTTTAAAAGTCCACCTCTTTTTGAAGAACTCACTTCATTATGGATGGACTCGTTGTTTTCAGTGAAGCTGCCGAAATTCACTAAAGGTTGGGATATATCCACACCATTGTACACGGAGGAGCCTCGCATCTCGTCCTCGTGGTAACGGCTGACCCAAAGGCCTTTTCTAACGAAAATAAATCAAAATGAGTCTGCTTGAAGTCTGAAACAAACCCTTTGTCCACACATCAGAGTAGAAAGCGGTTAGCACGATGTGGTCGCCAAATCCGCCAATAGACAACGAGCCCGTGACTCAGTGGTCAGGGCTTTGGACTTCAAACTAACAGGCCGCGAGATTGGACCCCAGGGCTTGCGCGACTTGTAGTTGGGTATGACTGGCTGAAGACGACTACTGGGCCATAAATGGCTATTTCAGTCTTCCCTGACTTTGCTGATAATGCCATTCTGGCTTATTAGCCGTCGTCAACTGACAGGGCGACGGACTCGTGGCCCAGTCGTTAGAGGTGTGGACTTCTAACTAACAGGTCGCGAGTTCGAGCCTCGGGTGTTCCGCACTTCGGGGCCGGGTATGACTGGCTGACGATGGCTAATAAGCCAGAAATGGCCATTCCAGTCTCGCTTGTCTTTGTCGGTAATACCATTCTGCCTATATATCATGCGCCACTGTGCGGCTGCTGGTTGGGCTCGAGAGAGAGTCCATAAGGCACAACGGAACGAGTGAGTTCCGCATGAACGATCGGTGAGCGCCCCCTAACATTGTATATTCCCGATCGAAAACCGACAGGGCAACGGGCTCGTGGCCCGGTGGGTAGAGGCGTGGACTTCTAAACCAACAGATCGCGAGTTCGAGGCTCGGGTGTTCCACACTTCGGGCTTGGGGTATGGCTGGCTGACGACGGCTAACAAGTCAGAAGTGGCCATTCCAGTCTCCCTTGTCTTCGTCGGCAATATCATTCTGCCTATATCATGCGTTGCTGTGCGGCTGCTGGCAGGGTTCGAGAGGGAGTCTCAATAAATAATTGGACGAGTGAGTTCCGTAGCGCTGTCGGTGAGTGCTCCTCTTCAAATTCTCCATCTCTCAGAACTAACTAACCAATTTCAGAGTACGAGGTGACCTCGACCTTGAAGCCGAACGGAGGTTCATCGGAGGAATTACGTCGCTTCGACTTGCCCCTTTTACGATTCCTCATAAATGAGATGAAAGCCAAAGAAGACATTATCCTTTCTTTTTCCTTTAAATATCCTAGATCTTCACGCTTTCTTAGAATTTTCTTTCACTAGACTGCCGTTGCTGTTGATTGGTTTAAATTGAATGACTCAGAGGAGTAATAAGGTGGTGAGAAGTACTACCGCTTCTGTTGATTCATGAGCACAATAACTGTGGAGTGTTCAGTGTAAACGTTGACAGTATGCGGAACCCCGGGCAGGAGCTTCAAACCCCGCCTGTTGAGTTCGCAGTGTTAAGTTACTCCTAGGAAACTGAGAAGACAGGGGATTTCATCAGCCGGCCACCAAATGCTAGTCGGCAGTTTCTGCGCGCTCTTACGTTTTGCATACATGGCGCCTGTTCGCTGCTCTGATTTTGTCGACAGATCTGCCGTTGAAAGTTCACGCTTAAGCAACAATCCAGTGTCCTAGCCCCACACTAATTTAACGGTTGCAGGCGTATGTTTTTACTACGGCTGGTGGCACGCACCACGAGACAGTGTTGAAAGCACCTTATTCGCGCCTTTTTGAACTGTAAACGAAGTGACATGGAAGGGTCTGTGAAGCCTGGCATGAAAGGAGGACCATGGCTGCTGTTCACTGGGTCTCGGAGGGGACAGACGGCCTAGAGGAATGGCCATTTCTGGCTTTTTTGTAATCTTCAGCCGGCCGTGGGTAAACTATTTGGCTACTGGGCACTCGGGTCACACTCTACCCTCAAATAGGGATTTTCTGACAGTTGAGACGTCCTGTCTGTCGGTTTTTTGTATGGAATCGCCCCAAACGGCACTGAAGTGACGGTCCAGTCGTCGCAAGTGACGGAGTCCACCGCGTGCATCAGTGCGTGAAGAACTTTATGGTGAGGCAGACTTGTAGAGCATCTACTGCACTCGCTCTTCTCCCAGCCACCTCTCTCTGATGGTAAGACGCTCAGAGGATGACTCGGGCGCAGCGACTATGATGACAAAACAGTCTGTCTACGCGCGCGCCACATGCAACTTAACCCTTAAGGCGTGTACCACACAATCTTAAGACAGTCGTTGGAGATCCACACGTGAAGACGCCTCGATGTCCTGCAAGGCCGTTTATGAGTTTTGCTGACTTTAGTCTCCAATAAATGCTCGTATACAAGACGCAAGGTACGCCCGCACAGACTCACCTGATCCACGAGAAGGCCTCCGTATTTTCTTCGTTAAAAAGAACCGGCGTTTGAGTGGAAAAGGACACCTGCATACAGCGATGTTTGCCTCCCACTTCACTGCACACCAGAGTATGCTTTACCACAGTATTCTGCCCTACATTAGTTGCAGGCTCCTCCTCCTCCGAGTGCACCAATCGTCGATACATGGACATTTCCGCGAGCGGATCTCGCGTAGAACCTGCTCTCAGCTCCTCGACGGTGTTTCTCTCCGAAATCACGTCCAGGTCGAGGTAGAAGAGGAAGTTGGTTGTCTGCAGGGCAGGCTCTGAAAAGGCTGGTGTAAAGCCGTCACGCATGGGCAAATCAAAGTGCACGTATGTTGTGGGCGTCACATGCATATCAATGCCTCCAGCGGGTGTAAAAACTGTGGTGAAACGGTACTGATTGTTGAGGAGCGTCGCGATACCCACCACGAGTAGCGAGGGTTCATGCATACCAGAAGCATACCCGGCAGGAGCCTCCGAGCCCTCACTGCCATCGGCCCCCTCAGAGAGGCCGAAGAATCGTCTATTGGCACCGCCGTGTGTCGGTGCATCCGACTCGAACAGACAGAGACCGCGTCTGATGGTGAAGGGCCCGTTCGTGGGGTCACCTACCATCGGGACACTGAGGTAGACTGCGTCTACTGGGCAGTCCACTCCGGGACTCAACTCCGACCACATCTCGCCGATGCCCTGGACGGAGGCGAGGGAGACTGTCCGATCGGCGAGGGGATTGTCACCGTGGTAGATGGTTACAATTTCCTCCAAGCCCGCCTCAGCCACCATGAGGCGGGAATCGAAGCGTATGTCAAAGAAACGCACGCCAGTGTCCCTCTGCACGCCAACATAGAAGCTCCAGTGTCCATACCGCACAAACTTGTTTCTTACACTTCCCGGGAATTTGGGTGCAGGACTGTCCCTGAAAAGGTGTTCCTCGTCATCGCCCTTCGTGTGCTGTTCTTGGACTGACGTAGGATGGTGTTTGGAAGAGGCGTGGGTGGACGCGAGTGGATTGAATACATAGGCTCGCATGGAGATATGTTTGGTCTGAATTGCTTGCCTCAATTGTGCAATAGTGCTGAAGTGTCTGTTTTGCAGCCAAATGTCAGTGATCCTCCAGGCCTTGTAGTCATTCTTGGAAATATCGATCTGAGGAAAAAAAGTATGACATGTAAAATTTCATTAGCAAAGCTACTATTTTGCATCATTCCCCCCTTAGCGAGTTTTATTGCTATAGCCTCCGCAACCGAAAACCCACAAGCGTACTTCTGCGTTCATCTGATGCAGCTCTTATGGTCTCGACCCATCTATTTCCCCACCAATGTCCTCCAGGTTGTTTTAGGTTTTCAGAAATCAATTGACGCATCCGAACTAGGAGTTTCGAGTTAACAGAAGTATGTTCTAAGGCACCTGCGGACTTCGGTTCAATGCAGTGCTGTCGGTTCATCTGAAAGGCCCAGTCTGTGGACTGTCTTTGCCCCATGTGTGGGCGCATGCTTGTGTTTCTCTTCCCCTCTGGTGGTTAGGGTTATGATTATTCAAGGCGGTTCCGTTACAGGCGTACACAGTTGAATTTATTGGAATCAGCAAATTTTGCGACGGCTTATCCACCGCAACCTGTCGCTGCATAACAGAGATAACGAATAAGAAATATACCGAGATTTGGATTTCCACAGAAAAAATCAATACAAAACAGCAAGGTCATCGTTTGATGCACGTCGACTAATCAATGAAAATAGTAGCTTAAAAAGACGATTTTTGAAAGAAAATGGGGAAGCATGCAAAGGAAGTGTGAAAATCAAAAGGCTGAGATTTGCCAGGGCAAGCTTAGGTTGACTACGTGACCCAGCTGTTTGCATAGGTCGGATTTCTTCCGTCGTATGCCGCAGCCCACTGTATCATTAGGTTCATTACCCATGAACCTATATCTTTGGAATTCTATTTTATTTCCAAGACTTAATGAACTGTGACTAGGTCATTCGTGTTAGATATCGCAACTACGGGATCGGCGATCAACCGAATAACGTTCATTCGCCGTGCCTGCTTCACCTCACTGTAGAGCAGACGATGGAACATAATCGGACACATTTGCATTTATACGTCGTGTGTGTGGGATCATAAATCGATTTTAATTACAATCCCACCTAAAGCCCTAAGGAGCCGTCAATATTCTACAGTTTGGTTTTTGAAACAACTTGGGGTTTCAACTACTCATCTCTAACAGCACACAGAACTCACACATGGCAAGACTCACCCTAAGCCGGATATCCGTGGGATTTTGAAAGTGAGAGGAGGTTATTCGTTCCAGGCGTATCATCACGCTCCTCTTCTCCGGGTCCATTTGCGTCCTCAAGACAGTGGAAGGAATTGCAGTCAAGCAGAATGGCTGGTCCACATTCTCGGCTTCGCTGGCAATCAGTCTACGTCGGGCTGTGCAGTAGTTTTCCCTCGAGCTCCACAGACCTCCACCAGATCGTTTTGGTGCGGCCAGATGATACCCGGCTGCGTAGTACTCCTTCAGTAGGTCCTCCCACACGAGGGAGACGTTGGCCACAAAGTCATCCAAGGCCTGGAGCTCTAGAGCACTGAGGGGTCTCCTGTGGTCGGGCATTTCCCGGACCATTTGAATATTGCTCACCTCCGAAACCCCCACATCCACTACGAACTCCTGGATCGTCCTCATCTCAGGCCAGTGGATGGCGACTCGAGCTACGCGGTGAGCTGTGAAGGGATTCTCAAAGGCTAAAGCTCGAATCTCCTTGGAGGGCATCTCCACTGCGACCCGGACCAGGGAGGGAAAGAGCAGGACGTCCCAGGTGTTGGGGTTAGGCAGAATGCGACTGCTCTTACGTTTCAACACCCTACCACCGAGGGATTCTAGCTGGAGGTGTTCACATATTCGCCTTACCGCGGTCTTGTACTCCGCCCTTGTGAGCTCATCAAAGTAGCCTGGAGAGTTAACGATGTGTTCGATGAAATCATCAAAGCTGGCGAGGCTTCCAGAAGGACAGATGCAAACCAGAAGGAGCATACTAGACGCATGCAGGCCGCAGAGAAGTTGGTGAGAGAACTAAAAAGGCAAATGAAATAGCTTATTTAGATTGGCTGCTTTTTTGTTGTTAGTTAATGAATACTTAATTGACATAAACAATTGCTACTCAACTAATGTAAGTAGGCGTTTCAGTGACCCTATAAGTTTGCCTTCACGAGGCGACTTTTGGAAGAAATCGTGACCACAATTACACATTTATTTTTTGTGCCTCTTTTGTGTGGGAATCAGGTTTTTTTTGAATATTGATGTTTTAATGAAGTCATTATCATAATTTTGAAGGAGTCTACTTATGACACACATGAGTACCTATGTGCACAAATGCCGCTACCCAAGTATGCAAAATGACCCATGTGCACTGTAATATTCCATGAACAGTGGAAGCCTGCGGGTGGCCGTGAGCTAAATTCCAATGGGGTACTTATTCCCTTGTCCAGCCAAGCCTATTTTACAAGAACTTGTAGAATTGGGTGGACTTACTGAAGGAACATCAGACAGCGCTCCAATCTCCGAACTGCCGCATTTCGCGTGTTGTCCAGACCAGCTTTTTTTCCAAAAGGCGCCCCTTCGGATGCTACCGTCAGGTCTCCTGTTTAAAAGGGCATCTTAGAAGGGAAGCGAATCGGCCGATTTCATCTCCAACGTGAATTTGATCGATGGATTTGCTCGATTCACAGCATTTAAAAGGGCAGCTACGTCGGTTTCTGTGGTGGCAATTGTAGATATCATCAGCATAGCGACCGTAATGTATAAGCTTATCGATCTGATTGCTTAGTTGAAATCTCTCGGGCCTGCCCATGAAAACATCGGCTAGGAGTGGTCCAAGAGGCGAACCCATGGCAACGCCCTCAATCTTTCTACAGATTTGGTTGTCAAACAGGAACTGTACATTTACTGTGCCTCTTAGTAATGCTTCCTTGAGAGTGTTCGTCGGATTTCCTATTTTCTGTTGATTGGTTGTTAGAAGTTCCCAGATGTATTCAACTGCTCAGTAACCGAAGCGTTTGTAAAAAGTGATGAGACGTCTAGCGAGAACATCACCATGCCGTTAAGGTCAAGGTCTTTGATGTTGTCAATGAATTCAAAAATATCTCGATGGCTGCGTGGTGCCGATGTCTTCATGGGCAAATTGGAGAAAATCCAACTAATCGATCAGATCGATAAGCTTATACATTACGGTCGCTATGCTGATGATATCTACAATTGCCACCACAGAAACCGACGTAGCTGCCCTTTTAAATGCTGTGAATCGAGCAAATCCATCGATCAAATTCACATTGGAGGTGAAATCGGCCGGTTCTCTTCCCTTCTAAGATGTCCTTCTAAATATGCAGGAGATCTGACGGTAGTATCCGAAGAAGCGTCTATCGGAAGAAAAGCTGGTCTGGACAACACACGAAATGCGGCAGTTTCGTGTCCCTCCAACAAAAAGAAAATCTAGTCCAGTGTTTGTCATAAAGAACTAGAGAAATCTGCTCAACAGATAGCATCGAGGAGGAGCTTAGAAAAATCCAGGACTTGCTTCGCGAAAACGGGTATCCTAATAGGTTTATTGCAAAGAACATTGCCAAACGACGGGTAAAACCCGACTGCTGAAAAGAAAATTTTGTTCCTCAAAGTCCCTTTCCAAGGGGACGCCGCACGTGAACTCCTAAGGAGACGCCTTGATCAAGCTGTCTTACGAACCTTCCCAGCAGCAAGGGTTCACATATCATCTTCTCCTAACCCTATTTTACGCAGAGAAGGTAAGGGTAAGTTGCCAACTCAGACCACCTCAATGTACATCAACTCATTCACTTGCTCCTGCGAAGCAGGTTATATTGGTCGTACGAGTCGGCGCCTTTCCAAAAGAATACGAGAGCACCTTCCCGCATGGCTGAAAAAACGTGAAACTAGGAGAATAGACAGCGCCATCCTTGCGCATGCAGTGAATTCAGGGCATCGTGTAGACCCCGCTGAAGCATTTCGCGTGATTTATAAGGTCCCCTCGAGCTACCCTAAGCTACTGGGCCAACGCCTGTTACCAACAGCAGAAGCAGCCGCCATCAGCTTACGAAAGTCGACCCTATGCGCCCAGAAGAACCTTGTTAAACGTCGGCGCTTACCGTGGTCAAAGGGTGACGAAGGCTACAATTCTCCGGGTTCTTCCGCTCTCACCTCGCCCCTATCACTGACTGCTATCTCCCCCCCCTCTCCCAAATTCGCACACTCCGCCTGTGTTTTAAGACGAACGCTAATCTATTTCTCTTATCACTGACAGGTTTTACTTCTACTCTGAACTGGCCTTACGAGAATTTATCAAAAGCAAATGTGTGTTCGCCACCTCGTCTTCCGGTTACTGTTATGGGAATTTTCGAGACTAAGAAAACGAGTGTTCATTTTGACCTAACTGCGAAAAACCCAGCCACCTTCGTGGGATTCGAACCCACTACAGCAGGGGGAAGGTTTCGGTTCAGCCAACGCTATGCCCACCAGAGCAACGAGGCCCCACCAGGAACCGTTTTTCAATCTCGGGTTAAAGTGAGTTATTTAAAATCCTACTAATTAGGTCAGCATGATAGTTACCTGGTAGGTAGCTGGAGCAATAACATGAAGGACTTTAGAGCATAACTGCCCTTCCTTCGCCCAATTGGCAGTTGTAAGTATGAAACCTAATTAAAACACGCCTACTGATATGAAGCAAGTACGTCAACAATGTTGACTCATAATCCCAGGCTACTCACATTTGTCTCGTCGGTTCTAGATTGGTCGCTTAGGAAGTCCTACTTGAGTAGTTAGTTTACTGTATCAGATTTGATGGATTCCATACTTTTCTGTAGGCTTGTGTGTTTAACTTGACCCAAATGTGAGCAAATTCCCAGCTTCCAGTGGGCCTCGTAGTTCAGAGCGTTGGCTGTACCCTTATCTTGCACCTGCAGTCGTGCTTTCGAATCCCATGAATGTAAATGAATTATCAAAAATCCTCCAAAACACCCAGTAAGTAGGAAATGGCCATTGCGCGGTGTCAATGTGTTTTTGCGCAAAAGTCTTCAGATATCACACATTTCACTGGTTTACTACTACTCAAATTGCCGTATTCACTGACCATTGCTCCATCAGCTTATCTCTGAGCAGCGTCTCAGGTCGCGCGAAGAATTTAAAAATCGGCTCGATCGATGAATTTCTTAAAAAGAGCAACAGCTGTTCTTCCGCAGAATCCACTGGTAAGCCGAAATATGGAAAATTGTTATAGTAGCCGACACACTTATAATAAAATATAATGTATAGTCACTTTTAACTAAACAGCGTTTGTCCGTAAAAATCGGTGCGGATTAGTTTCTACTCCGAAAACAGTCAGTGACCAATATGAAATGAAAAGTTTCGGTGGTAGCATTGATTACTTTGCGACTTAATCTCGTGGCATTTCGTTGCCGGCTTTTTGATGAATTTCTTTCCAGCCGTCTGAAAAAATTAAACTCCGCCAAAATGACAATTTATATTGCATGGATATTTTCATTGATTTTTGATGCTCTTATAAATTCAATCATATTTTATAGAGGGCATGCACCAGTCGCATGTAATCGTTTGCCAAAAATTACGTCTTCTATTTTTTTTATTTAAAGATAGAACGTGTTTCGTTTTTTAACTTTTTTGAATTCTCTAGCAATTTTGTGTCCCACCTACCGTTACACTTACATTCAATTTCGCTAAACTACACGCGGTACACATCCCATCAAAGGAATATCATAAATTCTTTCTAAGTTTCCAGGAAGACGCAACCTAGGACTCATAGAATTGCACAGTGGATGTGATTCGGGTTGTACACTATACGCTGGCACGCCGACGTGTTTCACAGTCTTACATAATTTCACGAATAGAAATTTTTAAAAATTTGAAGACGACGTAACTTGATACCAACAACACATAAGGCAGTATTTTTGCGTGTTTTTTGCAAAACATAACTGAATTTTTGAGAGCAATGAAAATCAATGGGAAAATTTTGTACAACCTAAGTAACCGTTTTTACAGAGTGAAGTTTTTGCAGGCGGCTGAAAAGACACTCATACCAAAGTGCCCTAGGATTATGTTGTGTGATAATTAGTATTGTAATCGCACTTGAGTATTCTTTTCAAATCAAAAGCACACTTCAAAATTTCGACGAGCATTTCCTGAAATATCACATTTACTGCATGTGAACAGTGGTAAAATAAGTGATAGGGCTTTTTAGTGGAATAATTTGAGATGCATACTGTTCCTTCCGTCAGAATGTATTGATTAGTAATTTCGTATATTCTTCCGCGCATAAACAGAGGCGACTATGTAGATGTGAACCATATCAATTACCTAGTCTCTTTCAATTTGGGCCAAATAAACGCTGAGCAGAACTGAGGCTGTGGTCTACGTTATTTGGAGACTTCCATGTGCTCTTCGGTAGTATCTGTGCGCAGTAAATACATTTTACTGCGACGTATGTTGCAATGGATTACGGGGAACAAGGGGGTCATATAGTCGAAAAATGTATGTCCAAACGAGAGGGAGCAGCCAACATCTTGGCTGAGAACAGGTGTTACGCAGCCGTCTGCTTCTCTCTGTGTCTCATAATGCGAGTTGCAGTGGATGTACCCGCCCCCGCCAGCACCATCTCAACCCAGCCTAGTCCGCTCCAATTGGGCTAGCTTTGGCTACAAGGTTGGGCCACGGTGTGACAAGGGCGGATGTGGCCCAATTGGCCCAATCAAGTGATTATAACCATTTGTCAAGAAGGAATCTGGAACGCAGATGATAACCAATGAGTTTTTTAATTAGAGGTCTGATGTGGACTAATTAGGGGCAAATTAAATAGGGTAACAATATCATACTTTTTGCTCTAATATCATAATTTACAGAAATGAAACATTTGGTCTGTGTACACAGACAGCCTATGACAGCCGTCACAGGCTGCGATTTTGCAATTAAAACGGCTTTTGCGATATGATCTGCGGAATATGATGTCCACGCAGTCC